AATCCCTCAGAAGATGTTCTTAATTGGCAGACTGAGAATTCTCTTATTCAAAATACTGCTCTCATATCCATCCATAAAAACATCTCAGAAACCAAAGATAAGATCGATCAGATTGATACAACTGTGTCAACACAACAGTCTCAAGTTTCTCATATGATTGAAGTATTTGAAAAAAGGCTTCAAGAATTAAAATACATCATGCCTACAGATCCGTCCATGTTAGTTGATTTCATTCTCAATAAAGAAAAAGAAACAAAATTTATTCAAGATCAACTACATATTTTGAAAACAACAGGACAAGTTCCTGTGTATGATGTAGAACCGTCAACATCCCTTTCCAAGGTAAGTTCTATGTATGGGGCAGTACCTCTTAGAAACTGGCCGACACCTTTCTATTTTGGTGGGGTTTCTACACCATCACCATTTCTTTATTTTTCTGAACAACAGCCACAGGTTTCGAAACCTTTTGATATTGCAGCAACTTTACGAGAATATCGTAAGAACAAACAAATTCAAAAGGATGCTGAAATAGCAAAAGAAATGGCTAGAAAGGAACAAAAGAAAGCTGAAGCCGAAAGAGAAAGGAAGGCAAAACAAGCAGTCATAGAACCACCATCATCCTCTCAACAAAATCCTCCAACTTCATTAATGATTAGTACATATACTAATCCTATTTTCTCTATGGAACAGGAAAGGAAAGCAAATGAAGCCACCAGGGTTTTTGATAATCCTTTATCAACAGTATTAGAAGAATTTCATGATAGTTCACTTCCATACATCTCTACTTACACTGAAGTGCATGATAATACTCCCAAAGATACCAGTTCGGAAGAAAGTATTTCTTCTGATTCTTCAGAAAGTGAATTTGATTCCTCAGAATCATCATCAGAAGAAGAGACTATTCCTCAGATTAACATGGCAGAACCAGAACCAGAAATTGTTGAGCCTAATGAAGACCAAGAGGAGCAAGAGCAATCACAAACATATGACCAGCATCCACGAGCTTCATTTCCTAAATCAAAGGGAGTACCTCTGTTTACTATTGATAACATCCCATCCGAAATGTGGGAAGCAAGATTCCAAGAATTTCATGCTTGGATGTTAGCTCAGAGTTTAACAGAAGAATCTCACTTTGAAATATTGTCTGTTTTCACAGCACATCTTGCAGGCATACTTAAAGATTGGTGGACATCCATTGGAGATGCAGATAAAATGACATTTTTAACTAGACAAGACTTTATGGAAAATGTTCATATTTTGCATCTTACATTCCTTGGGAATGTTAGAGAATTCCAGGAAACTAAGAGAAAAGAGTTCTTTCAAATGAAATGTTTATCTTATGATAGACATGATTTAAATAAGCATTTTAAAAAGATGCTTCAATTATTCTATTCTCTTGGTGCAGATATAAATCTCAAGCAACCCTTTGTCAGCTCTCTTCCAAAGCCACTTGCAGACGGGGCAGAAATGTATATCCATAATAAATATGGATCTATCCTCAATCTCACAATTGGACAAATCAAGCAAGCAGTTTTCTTATCTCTTGATGATCTTTGTCATAAGAGAAAGGTGATCCGTGAATATTTGAAAGGAGATGTTTGTTTAGATCAAGCTTGCAAAAAACCAGAATTAATTACAAAAGGAAAGTGTCAAGCTTGTACTCCGTCTCACAGAAGAAAAGGATCCAGAAGGTTCAAAAAATTCAGAAGTTTTACAAAAGCATACAAGAATTTTCCAAGAAAACCCTTCAGGAAGAAATGGAGATACTTTAGACGAAAGTCTAAAAGGTTCCGAGGTAACAAAGGTAACAAATGTTTTATCTGTGGAAAACCAGGACATTTTGCAAAAAATTGTCCTCAAAACCAAAAGGGAGTAAAGTTAATTTCAGAAATTCAGAATGAACTTCATTTTTCCATATCAGATTTAGAATCTGAATTTTCTGAACAAGATGAACCTACTGATACAACTCTTTTGGCTTTACAGGTTCCTGAAGAAATATTAAGTATAAGCCCTATTGCATCCATCAATAAGGAAGAAACTAAAAAGGATGTTTATCCCCAAACTCTCATTCATATTCTTTTGGATAAATATTCTAAACCTATACCCCTTATTGCATTTTTTGATACAGGAGCTTATATTTCCATTATGAGAAAAGACATCTTACCAGACTCATATTGGATCCCAGAAGTAAACAAATTCCGGGCAGCCGATGGAAATATTTTTGAAACAAAGTTCATTACAAAAAGTTCCGTCACCCTCAAACTTCTTCCAGATTGCTGTGTAAGTTCAAAATTTTTGGGAGCAAATTTCACTGGTAAGGATTTGATATTAGGATTTGATCTATATAAACAAAACAAGTATCTCATTACAGGCCATGGGATAAAATCAAAAAAGTTTTTCAAACCTTTTATTGAAATCCCTAAGCTGTATATGATACAAGAAGACAATGTTCAAAAAGATCAACTCCAGCAGATTCAGACTCAGATTATACAGGAGTCATGTTCAGCCAATCATCAAGATTTTTTTAAAAAATGTGATCATCCATTGTGGAAAAATCCTGATTTTTACATTCGACTTCCTTTCAAGAAGAATGAAGATATCAATCCTACAAAAGCTAGTCATTCTGGTATGAACCCTGATGATACAAAACTTGCAGAACAGGAATGTCAAGAACTTCTAAAGTTTGAACTTGAATCTGGACCTTTTGGTTCTGGATCCGGTTTGCAAGGTCGCGGCTCAAGCAATCTTGGGTTTTTCTTTCCTTTTGGCCACTCTTGAAGGTCTGTTGCATCACACCCAAGAAGTTCTGCCAATTGACATTCTTCACAATGTGTGCAAACATCAAAATAAACATGACCAGAGATCGGATCTTGAAACCATGAGATTGGAAGTCCATTCTTATTAAAAGACTGGATGACGTCCTGACTTCGGTGTACTTGTTGTAGATTTTGAGGATGATCATCATGTATTTTCCATTCCTTTTCAAACTCTGAACGATAATACATGGGAACCTGTACACACATAATAGAAGGAATATTAGATTTTGAACTCAAACCCTTAAAATGAGAATGATCAAATGAGATTGAAGGGAAATAAACAAGCACATCAATATCACAATGAAATGCTCAACATTACTGATCCAGATACTACACCCTCATTTTAAGGGTTTGAGTTCAAAATCTAATATTCCTTCTATTATGTGTGTACAGGTTCCCATGTATTTTTTCTTTTGTTTTCTATGCTTTTCCATTCTGATCGGTTTTTGAAACTGTAGTGGGATACTGATGAAGTTGCTGTTGATCTTTGTGATGTTCCTGTGTCATCATTCGGGTCTTGGGAGTCTTGCATTACAGTATCATTCATCTTGTCCTGGTATTCCTTTTTTGCCCGTTTAATCCTAGTCCAGTGAGGATGACTAGAATGATAGTTCCATGAACCATAATGACCAGGCCAAATCTCGGCTGGGATACATCTGTTTTCCTGGAAAAGATATCTCTGTGCTTCCTCATACTCATCATCTAGGTCTAAAATAGTATGATTCATTTCTTTATAAATTACTGCACTTGAACAGGACTGCATTTGGTTATTTATCAAGTGGCAAGGTCTATGGAAATGAAAAATAAGAGTTATGACCTCCGGTTGCTCCGAAAGGTCAAGACAAGTCTGTATAAATGAACGGTGCATCATCAGTTGAAGATCATCGAGAAAAAATTGAAATAAAAATCCTGAGTGTTCCATATGGCAGGCTAAGCTTTTAAAATTTTCACTAGGGAAGGCCGAGATTCTTATAGCTGTGTGTTACTCAGTTTCTTCATAAATTTGTTTTAATTTACTCGTTTGATAAAAGTCCCTTGAACTTTGAAAGCCCAAGGAGTGCGGCTGTTTGTGTTCGGGAATACTTTCAAAGAGCAAATTATCACTAAATTATGAGGAAAATTGAGGCACTCTGTCTTTTTAAAATGCTTATTTAAATCATGTCTATCATAAGATAAACATTTATACCATTTTTTACTGCAAGAATCTCCTTGAAAGTGGAATGGTAATGTTGTTCAGAGGTTTTGAATTTTCCACTGGCAAAACCACAACAATGTTGTGTTCCCTGTTCATCTTCTTCAAGTAGTACGGCTCCCCAATATTTATCACTGGCATCAGTTTGTAGAATCTTTTTCCCATCAGACGGAATATGGAGTGTAGGAAGGTGTAACAATTCTTTCTTGAGAATTTGGATTGCTTGGGTTTGTGAAACTCCCCATGGTGGAGGCTTCTTTTTAAGCATTTTAGTCAAAGGACTAATATGCTTTGAAACTTTGGGAATGAATTCCCGGACATAATTTACAACTCCAAGGAATTGTTGAACTTGTGTTACTGAAAGATTGTTTTCAGGGAAATCTTTAACAGACTGTCCAACATGTTGTTCTGGAGTGCATTTTCCTTTAGCAATTTTCATGCCAAGGAATGAAATTTCTTGCTGTGCCAAAAACATTTTCTTTTCACATTCACCATACAAGTATTGTTCTTCTTTAAAGCTTCACATGGGCCATGAATCATATGCTGTACCACCAATTCATATAAATGGGGGTATCTGTCTTTGTCAGGCAGTTCTGCACATACAAACTTGTCAAATTGATTAGGGCTAGTGATTTTGTAATCCGATTTTAATATAATCAACATGTGTGCATGTGGCAATCCTCTCTTTTGGAATTCAATTACGTGAACTTGGGCAGCTGCCTTTCCGAATATCTCTTTCTTGAACAGTTGATCTTTTAGATCTTGCAATTTTGCTCGAAATACTCTAGCAACCAAATCAGGACGATCTTGTGTAGTTTGGCCTTCAAATAAATTTTCCTGGATTTCTTGCCATTCAGGATTGCAAGTCATAGTAATGAAAAGATCTGGTTTTCCAAATCTGGTTTTCCAAATCTTTCAACTAATGCCATTGCATCTAAATACCTTCGGCACATGTCTCTTGGACCACCAATGAATGATATTGGGAGAACGATTCATTGGCCAACTTGGCTGCCGCTAGTTTCTCCAGCCATGACTGAATCAACTATTCCTTGATACAACTCGGCCCTTATTTCACCTTGTTTTCTTCTATAGAAGTCCAAGCGAGTTGTTTCAAGTTTAATGTACATCTCAACTGCATATTGTTGTAGTAGCCGTCAAGCAAGCAGTAGAATTGATTGTTTTGGCTGTTTGACTTGCAATTTGTAGCAATAGTATTGTCGACAAGAAACTTTACCAACAGTGTCATCACTAAGTTCTGTAGCATAAAACTCTCATTAGTAGCATAGCATTAAAATGTTATATGGTACTGGATAATAAGCGAAAAAAATCAAATTCCAATTCATCTAACCTTCTTGCTCTTGATTGAAAATATCCTCGAGGGAGCTAAAATTTGGATTAATCTCATTTGGGTCATTATGTTGACGAATAGTTCCCTTGACCACATCATTTGTTTTCTTTATGTTTTGGTGCCAACCTATCTCTCCACCTGGGAAGAGAATAGGGTATTGTAGTGGGTCATAGCATCCATAGTAGTGCTTTACACGATATGGAGCACCGGAATGGGCATGGACTATGATGTCTCTTTGAACATTTTCGCTAGGATCATTGCTCTCTATCCATATAGCAGCAACTTGGTCAGCTGTAGAGGAGTTATAAACTCTTTGATCCAAGCTGACATCCTTCTTTATGCATACTTGAAGGTTATCCAAGGAAGGATAGTCTTTTAACTTTCTTAGAAAACGTGCAAATGGATTTTCTTCTAGAATTTCCATCAATTTCTTGACAATTCTTTCATTCAAATTCACATCTTTTAAGATATTGAGTCTGTTGTTCAGCTCATTCTCTGTGTCATAAAAGTACAATTGTAAGTACCGTGGGGCATTCGCCTCTGGAATCAAGGCAGGCAAATGATGGTAGATTTGTCCTTGAACTATGAATGTGTAGACCCCTTGCTTAGATGATGCCAACTCTTTGTCCAATCTTGCCCCAAAAGAAGTGAATGAAAAAATACTATTGTATGCACGTATATGCTTGCGAAATTCTTCCGCTTCTTTTGAATTGGATGTGTACAATTCATACAATTCTTCTGAAAGCTCAACATTTCTCAACCTGATTTTCCCCTTTTGGCAACAGAATGAGGGTGGCTCGAATTCAAGCCTCATTGCTCCACAATGTTTGCAAGAAGGTTTAGCTTGTAACACTTGGAGTTCAGAGCAGACTGGAACATAAGATAGCTCCCCTTAAAAGATTAAATAAGTAAACTTGTTAGTTTGTCTATATTTGTGTGTCTTGTATATAGAAAATTTAGTTAGGCAAACATTTCCTCCTACCATTATTTTCTGATGGCTCTTGCAATGCTTTGAGTAGCCAAGGTTTTTTCTACGTTTTCCTTTCTTGAATGGAACCCTGATTGTATGCATTCTGCCTTTTCTTCTGCAAGGAGCCATACCAGTCCTTTTTTACTTTTGTTTGTGTACCTTGACTTGCATCTGGGACACATTATCAAACATAACTTTGTAAGAAATATGGTATTTTACAAATTACACTATCTTCAACATGTAAAATTGTTACTACCTTGGGATATAGCTTCTTTAATAGCAGTATGGTTTTGAATTCTTCTAGCCTGCCTTGATTTAACGTGCCATTGGTTGTGCACTTTCTTTTCTTCTTCAGATAGTGAAGCATACCAACTTCTTTTCTGACCTCCTTCATTGGCTTGGAGCTCTCCTGAAATAGCTTAATCATGTTTAATTCTCCATTTTATGTTTCAGAATTGTTTTTTTTTTGGGGGTTTTAGGGGAAAAAGGGAAAGGTAATTTTTGTACTATCTGCAATATGTGAAATTATTAATACCTTCTGTTCTAAACTGCCTTGCCTTAGCACGTCGTTTGTTGAACAATTTTTTTCCTTCTTCAGGCAATGAAGCATACCAACTTCTTTTCCGACCTTCAAAATAGTGGAATAATATTTGGTTCACCATTTTGTGCATCAGAATTTTTTTGGGGAAAAATAAAGAGGAGAAGTTAATACTTATACTATATAATTGGCCGCATAATTTTCCATCAAACAATAGTTGTAGAGAAAAGTTGACAACCTTGTGATTTGGATATTGTTGCTGGATTCATAGAGGTAGCTTTTCGTGCCTTATTTGTTTGAGCGCATCTTTTGTTGTACTGCTTCCGTTGTTCATCACTCAATGAAGCATACCAATTGCTGCTTTGGCCTCTTTTATCATCATGCAATCTTTGCTCTTCTTTCTTTTCACCAATAAAGGGGGTTTTTGGCTCTAAATACAAAGAAAGAGGGGGTTATTATAATGTAGTATTCTTTTGTGTCGGCCCTTCTATTTGAGTTGGCTTTCTAGTTTATTTCAATATCTTGAGTAAGAAGCAAAAGCTGTCAAGTCACAATATTGCTTATGTTTTATGTTTGAGTCGGCGAATGCGAATTAAAGAAATAATCAAAATTTGGCTACAGAAGTTGTCCAGGACTTCTGATTTGGAGATTCATCAATAGTTAAAGGACTGCAACATTGTTAATCCCCTGAAGTATGTAGCACTCATGTTCGCCCAACTATTTACAAGTTATGGTAGCACTAATTCCGTCGTTGTGTGTTGGTAAATAGGTTGCTGTCTACTTCTTGATAGATGAAGACTGACTATGTCTGATGTTGTGCTAAGACTACTTCAAGGCTTGTGAAACAATATTAATATATTCATAGACTTGAATGTGTACATGGACTATTGGCTGTAGAATACCAGTATATTCTTTTTCTCTTCGAATTGCAGCAAAATGCATATCCATACAAAATTTTGCAGGCACCAACAATAATAGTGCATATCTTAGATGCTGGAATAAGCATAATTTGAGTAAAATTAGTTTATATGCACAAGATAGGATAGGTAGCTAACAAATTAGAGTATTATACATGCTAACCTTTTTTTTTCTCCTTTTCTTCGCCCATTTGAGGTGGCTTTTGCAGAGCTTGTTGGATAGGCTTGGTTTGCTGAAAACAATACAAATGAAGCACTACTCAATGGCTGTCCTTAAACCGTGTTGTTCCACTATAGTCTTATGGAATGTTATTCTCATCTCCTTGGTTCATTGGCGATTAACTTTATGTGACTTTATGAATAATTTTCAGTTTTTTTCAGTTTTCCTTGTTTTGAGTTCTAGTCACTTGTGACCTTTTGTCTTAAATTGGCTGCAATAATTAAACTTTAACCCACAATTAAGATTATGTGAAGCCTTAACAACAAATTTAAAAGACCATAATTGGAATAACAGAAACTAAGTTCATGGCACTTTTTATGTTTTTAATTTTAGAGTTCTAGTCACTTGTGACCTTTTGTCTTACCTTACCCACATTAAGATTATAGGGTAAAATACATAAAACCCCCCTGTGGTTAAGGAAATTGACACGAAACTTCCTCATTGTTTAAAAACTCCCACATAACCTCCTTGTGCTTTGGACTAATTTGGAAAATGGAAGGAAATCATCCAAATTGACGGCATTTGAGATGCACTAGTGTATTAAGGGAGTTTCAAGTGACATTGTCAAGGACAATTTAGTATTTTGCAGTGTTTTGTCATTTTTTTTTGTTTATTTTCCTTCTCCATTTCTTCCCTGCTCACAACCAAACTGGTCAATAACACCAAAATGGTCAACGACACTGGTGAACACCAATCATCATCAGTACCGCCACTGGTGATCAGTAGCTCCACCATCACCAACAATCACCAGCAACTCTACCATCAATCATCACTATGCTGTGGTATTCCCTCTGCCGTGGGAATCTCCGGGCCAACCACTGGCAGGAGGTCGCCGACGACGTCGCTTCTAGATGCCCCATCAGCAACGCCAAAACGGCCGTTCAGTGACGGCACAAGATGGAGAAGCTGAGGAAACGTTACCATGCCGAGATCCAACACGCCACCCCCTACGGCGGATCTAAGAGCCACAGGTATTGCTCCGCCTGGGTCCACTTTAAACGGATGGACGTCATGTAAAAAGGTCCCAATTCCTCCGCTGCAGCGGAAGCCGATGAGGATGAAGAAGATCAGGAAGAGTCATATGTTAAGCCTATTGGAGATATATATAACACCAATAGCTTGAATCATACGGGCAGTTATATCAATAATAATAGTAGTAACTGGAGTAGTTTTCATGGGGGTATGGTGAACGGAGGCACTGGGTTTCAAATTAGGATCACGGGAAGGGGGAACGTGGGGCTTGCCGCGGCTGCCAAGGTATATAGTAGATTTGATGATGTGGGTGGGCCTAACCCTAACACTGGTGTAAATTATGGGTCTACTAAAGCTTTGAGAGATGGGTTTGGTGGGAGAAGTGATATTGGGAAAAGGGTTGTCGGAGGTGATGTGAAAACGAGAGACCCGTTAGCAGAAATGGTGTCGGCCATACGGGTTCTGGGAGATGGGTTCGTGAGGATGGAAAGGATGAAGATGGACATGATAAGGGAAGTGGAGGAAATGAGGATGGAGATGGAGATGGAGATGAAGAGGACTGAAATGATTCGTGAGTCGCAACAGAGGATTGGTGATGAAGATGATACATTTTATAAAATTTCAAATGAGCCCCTTAGTTCTACCTTTGTTTCAAATGAAGGAAAAAAGTTTTTAAAACTTTAATTGAGCCCTGAGCTAAACTTTGATTCAGTTTGTAAATAGGGTTAATATAGGAAATTTACATCTTTTCGTCAATTTGGATGATTTCCGTCCATTTTCCAAATTAGTCCAAAGCACAAGGAGGTTATGTGGGAGTTTTTAAACAATGAGGAAGTTTCGTATCAATTTCCTTAACCACAGGGGGGTTTTATGTATTTTACCCAAGATTATATGAAGCCTTAACAACAAATTTAAAAGGGCATAATTGGAATTAACAACAAATTTAAAAGGGCATAATTGGAATAACAAAAACTAAGATCAAAATGCTGCTTACACTCGCACTCCAAAATAGACTCATGGTACTTTTTATATAGTATAATATAATGATGTGGTTTTACTCCTCAAGGTATATATACCATTGTGGTATTTTACCCGGCTATTTTGTGTCTGATACTTTATCCAGCCCTACCCCAGATCAGTAGCTTTTAATGCCTTCACTTTTTCTGTCTATGCTATTTATGAATGAGGCCATCTATTTGTACACATTGCAACAGCTCCACTGAATGACAAAGTTCAGAATAGAAAAAGTCAACCAGAATCTAATGCTGGAAAAAGAAAAGAAAAAACTCTGTGTCTTGTCACCTTTGGCCTAACATTCAACTTTCTTCTAATGATTAGTCTTCTCACCACAGCTACAGAGAGGTCTTGTCTAGAAGATTACCTAAACTCTCAGATAACATTACAGTTTTCAATGAGAACCAACAGACTTGTGATTCTCAAAATGAAAACACAAATACCATGCCTGAATCTTTGATGGACTCAAGCTCTGCAATCCTTGACTCCTTGAACATTCTGACTTTAAATTGTTTGTCCACAAACTCTGTTTCCTCTTCTATTGTATTCAATCCGTGGTCTTTAAGCACTGTTCGAGGTAGAGATATTACTGCTTTCACCAATTCATTTTCCTTCCTTTTGTCATTCAACCTTTAGTATTATTGTCTTTCATATAGTACTCTGATATAAATAAGTTTGCCTATTTATACGTGTTGCAGCAACTCCATTCAATCACAAAGCTTGGTGCTAGAAATGTCAGATTGAAACAAATACTGGAAAAAGGAAAAAAAAAGGAACATCTATCTTTTCATTCCTTGCCTAATGACCAGCCTTATAAGTGGAGGCATGGAAATTCTTTGTCTATGGCATGGTCTCCTGTTTTAGAAGTTTACATTCCTATTTTTTATGCGAATGCACAAACCTCTGGTACTTGATGTAAAAGTGCAGCTACCGTCTTTGAACCTACACAGAACTTGAATTCTAGAATTCTTGCCTCTTTGAACAATCCATCTTCAAACTGCCTCTCAAAAGACTATGTTTCTTCTTCTATTTGTAAGGATCGAAGACAACCTAAGAGGGGGGTGAATTAGGTGGTTTAAAAACTAGCCAAGATATGAGTCACTTTTTGAGAACTTGCTCTCTTTTTCTAAAAGACCACACAATTGAGCAATTGATGAATAAGCACAAGTGCTTGGGAGTACAA